AGATGTGTATAAGAGACAAACATATTACATTGAATCGACGTTGAAATTTACGTTGATGAAAACTTTCATTCACAACCAAAATTCAATGTTGATTCAACATTGATCATTTGATGTTATTATAACGTTAAATAATTGATGTTGAAACACCTTTAGACAATTTATGTTGAATCAACGTTGAAATTTACGTTGATGAAAACTTTCAAATTCAACCAAAACTCAACGCTGATTCAACATTGATCATTTGACGTTGTTTTAACGTTAAACATTGACATTGATATTTGACGTTGAATCAATGTTGAAATTTACGTTGATGAAAACTTTCATATACAACCAAAATTCAACGTTGATTCAACATTGGTCATTTGACGTTGTTCCAAAGTTAAAAAATTAGCGTTGAAAAAACATTAGACATTTTACGTTGAATCAACGTTGAGATTTACGTTGATGCAAACTTTCATATACAACAAAAATTAAACGTAGATTCAATGTTTGCATATTACGTTGAATCAACGTTATTTCAACCAAGTTGTGCCCACTGGGTTCATTCTTTGGAAATGGTGAGGTGCAGAGGCAGTGGCGTCGAGAGCCAGTAACAGCCCCGGGGCAACACCTCACATTTGGGACCCCACTCGGCCGCTCCCCAAATTAAGTCTCCTCCTGAGACCTTATTTGTCCAAACCTACCTACATGTGGGTACATACAGTTTTCATCCTGGCTTGGGCTCGGGTCCTATGGAGATTTTGTTCTTACCCCGAAAATGTTTCATCTTGGTCCGGGACCCCAGTAGACCCGGGCCCTGGGGCAGCGACCCCCGACCCCCTCTCGACGCCACTGTGCAGAGTGCCCCGGTTGAAAATATAAAAGTGACTTTAGGGGTGTTAACCAGGACTAAGAACCAATAAGAATTAACTTATCTCATGATTAATTAAAAGATAGACGATAGAATTTATTAAGTCGCAAACAAGGAGGATCCTTTTTATCTATAAGATACCAGGAACTTTGTTGCTAGAGGAGATTTGAATTCTGGAGAGAAAGAAATCGAATCAAGTCCAGTACAGGAGTGGCGCCAGCGGCCTCCGCCCCAGTTGGGGAGAGATGTTCCTCCTCCCTCCGTCGGGGAGAAAAAACATTATTCACCTAACTAACTTAGATGGGACAGAGTCTACACCGTTCAGCTCTGCTCGAGCTGACTCAATGGAGATCGGGTAGGTTTCTGTCCCAGTCGAACATTAAGTTTAGTTGGCTAGACGCAGTAAGCATATATTAATTTTACAAGGTTTGGGGTTTATGTATAGGAACACCCAGGCCCATGTCTGCTCGACATGGGATGGTTCATAGTGTTACCTCATCATATTGATGGACGATTTGATTTTTGAACTGAGTGAGTGCATGGAGGTAAATGGAATATTTTTATTTGGCAATTCCCTCTTTTTCAATTCGCTACTATTTTATACACTGATATTGGACAGCTGATAAATGGACAATAATTATGTTTTATCTTTAATTTAATTAGTTAAGATTTCCCAGTTTAAATCCCCCATTGTAATCCCCTTTATTTATTAAATATTTTCATTATTTTTTATCAGAATGGATACGCATTTTTCATTATGATTGCAAATGCTTCTACCGACTGAGCAGCGTGTAACTGTAACCCGAGTCCTCACGATGAATTAAGTGACTGTTCGCTTACTCGTAAAGTAGGGTTGAACACCCGCTATATATATATACTGTCTCTTATACACATCTAGATGTGTATAAGAGACAGCTATTATATGATTTTTAAAAAAAAAGTTTTTGACCTTCCAAAAAATATTTTAAAAGAACAGACGAACTTTTAACCTATTGTACACCCCTGGCTCTTAATTGGCGGCCCTCGAATCAAATTATTCTGGCCCGAAAGCATTATTAGAATATCTTTTTTTAATGTGAAAAACCTAAAGTAATAATCATTTGATGAACATATATTTTTTTAAATAAAGTTAAGACCAAAACACAATCCTGGCCAATATTAACAGAATTCGGACTCTGTCTCTTATACACATCTAGATGTGTATAAGAGAGCAGTGTTGGAAAGGCTAATGTTTTCGACGCCTACTATGTTTCGCAGACCTATCGCAAAATCCCACACACACACACACACAAAATCAAATTTCAGTCTTAATTTTCATTTTTTATCATGTTTAGGAATGTTGAAATTCAGTTAAATTAGCAATTTCGTATACATTTATAAATCTTTATAACATAGGCCTATATTAAAATCATATTTTTGTTAACAACTGAAATCTTGCCGGGAATGGGGCTTAACAGAAAAAATAATCCTTAAGTTACCAGCCAATGTAAAACCATACACCAAATACGTTCACTGTCTTAATTGACAAGGATATTTTTTATCTTATAAAAATGTTTAATTTATAAGTTAGCAACTGTGTCCGAAGTACTCGTAATTTGTCTCCGAGCATTTCTAAACGTTTGTCCTTCAGAATCAGTACTATTGGGGCATACAATTGCTACAACACATGCCATATCTATTATACTATACATGTAGGCTATATTCATAGCCTTATTAAAAAAGACTGTGGTTATTTATACTTTGAAAGCTGTACATAAACTGTGTCCTAGTCATAGGGATATTATTATAATCCATTGATTTTAACACTATCTTAACTTCCAATATTTAACAGAATTCGGACTACTCCATAGTGTTCATCCAACATAAAGACTGTAGCTTACTCGATACACCACTGAACCTAAGCCCCACCATTGTTTGGGCCAACGAACCTTTTTTAATGATTTAGTGGGAGCATGGAGGTATTATATAATACCTCCATGGTGGGAGGTGCTTGGACGGAAGGACCAGTGTCTTTCAATCTCCTTCTAACCAAGCATCCAGCAAACCTCTCTCTAAAAGTTTAGTGCAACATAAAGGAGCAGTGATGCCGGTTTGTCGGCATGCATGTTAGTTGATCGATCAATTATGAAACTAAATTGTCGCCTTTGATATGAGGACTTTATTCTAAAGTTATTTAAAGGTCTGCACGCACCTTAGTTGATCGATCGGTTTGCTTGATGGCTTAGTTATTCTAAGAAGGATTTAGTGTTAAATTGTTAATTTTATTTATATTTTTCCAAACAGCATTGTATTACATGAAGCCATTACCGTAATTTTTAAAGGGTATTTTTCTATACCACTCGTGGTGCCAAGGTTCTATGTAAAATATTTGTAAATCAATTATGAAACTAAATTGTCGTCTTTGATATGAGTACTTTATTCTAAAGTTATTTAAAGGTCTGCACACACCTTCTTGTTCGGTATTTAAAGAGTTTTCACATATTGTTTTCAATATTATAGTATATAGCTTCTTGTATTGTTTCACTATCAGGTTAAACATATTTGACATATTTTCAGAATTCATTTCGGATCTGTTTCATGGAAATTAGAATAACAGATACCTTTAATTGTCCATCCAGTGTAACAAAACTTTAGTGAACCAAAGAACAGTGCTCATAAAACACGTTTCGATTGTCATACAAATAGCGAAAGTCATGCAGAACTGTCTGTGCAGTTAAGCTCTGTCTCTGTGTTTTGTTCTGTTCACTGTCAACATCATTCTTTTAAAGTAATATCAGTGCCCACGTGTGACAACGAGTTCCGTCAGAAAAAATAATCCTTAAGTTACCAGCCAATGTAAAACCATACACCAAATACGTTCACTGTCTTAATTGACAGGGATTTTTTTTTTCTTTAAAAAAATGTTTAATTGTAAAATTGTAAGTTAGCAACTGTGTCCGAAGTACTCGTGATTTGTCTCCGAGCATTTCTAAACGTTTATCCTTCAGAATCAGTACTATTATAGGGGCATACAATTTCTACAACACATGTCATATCTAGTATGCTATACATTTAGGCTATACATAGCCATATTGAAAATGACTGTGGTTATTTATACTTTGAAAGCTGTACATAAACTATATCTTAGTCATAGGGATATTATTATAGTCCATTGATGTTAACATTATCTTAACTTCCAAGGCATATTTAACAGAATTCGGACTACTCCATAGTGTTCATCCACGCATAAAGACTGTAGCTTACTCGATACACCACTGAACCTCAGCCCCACCATTGTTTGGGCCAACTAACCTTTTTTAATGATTTAGTGGTAGGTGCTTGGTTGGATGGACAAGTGTCTTTTAAGCTTTTTTTTAACCAAGCATCCAGCAAATCTCTCTCTAAAGGTTTAGTGCAACGTAAAGGAGCAGTGATGCCGGTTTGTTGGCAAGCCATGTTCGTTGATCGATCGGTTTGCTTGATGGCTTAGTTATTCTAAGAAAGATTTAGTGTAAAATTGTTAATTTTATTTATATTTTTTCCGAACAGCCTTATATTACATGAAGCCATTACCGTAATTTTAAAGGGTATTTTTCTATACCACTCGTGGTGCCAAGGTTCTATGTAAAATA